TGTTTGTTGAAGAACGGGAGAGAATCGGTTAGGACCGCGAAACAAGGTCGCGTGACAGTGCACGTATATATAATAATGTTCACAGAAAAATATTGCCTACACGGCTTGTATTTTGTTTTTTTTTCATCTATATATACAATTTAATTTTTTCTACCACTGGTACGACCGGTCGAATAAATCACTATATTTGTGCTTTGGTGCCCACTGATTGCGCCTTATGTACGCGCGCGTGTGTATATGTGCTTCGATTGCGAGCTCTATTACAAGTGATTTATTGAACGAAATAATAGTAACACGAAAGGTATATATCTCACGAAATTTCCTCGACCGCGTACACGCCTCGTAGGTTGTTTTTACTCCTCGGGTATTATATGTACACATACATATATTATGTATCGTGTATATATTATATACGATATAGTCGTTGGCTCGCGCAATCGCGTTTTATTATCTCTCGTTTAATTTATTATTGTTTGAAAAAAAAACCTTCTTTAATTGGCGGATCTCTCATCCCATGACTCCGGCGGCGTGACGAGTGTATATATTATATGCGTTTAACATTTATATACATATATACAAGCTCACATATTATTATACACGTTGGACGATGGTTAATTGGTCCGTTATACGTCGGCGTGCGCGCGTCAGTGCAGTCCGTGTGTGAACTGTGTTCGGTGACTTTAATACGTCACCAAATTATCGTGTTTGTAATATAGATAGGTACGCACATATTAATAATATTATACAACAATATTAAACTATATACCTGTATTATATTATTATAAATACACGATTTCTGTCGGTAAATGTTATTATGCCATCATGTAACATGGCATCATGCGATGACGGAGACGACTATATAATATTATTATCGCGGTGCGATGAGGATTGAGGGGAACCACTGGACCGACGGAGTTAATGATGACATTACCGCGCGCCGAATCGTGACTGTATACGAGAAGAATATATCGTATCTCGGCGTACACGCTTGTATATATATATAATAATATAATATAATATTGTAGAGGTGGTTTGGGGCCGAACCGATACTCTGTGTTATTCTCTTCTTCTCCTCTAGTGCAGCTGCAACAATTCGTGGTGGAATGGCCCCGCCGCCGGTCTATTGAGATTGCTATATACCTACGTGTTCCTTTCAACGTTGTAACACCAATTTTCTCGTTTAATATAACCGCGCAAGAGCATGATCTTCCCTCCCCCCCCCGTTGTATAGCGCGCGCGGGCGTGTGTATGTGTATACATATATACATTGTATATATATACGCACACTCCTCCCGAACGATGACCGTTGGGGAGGGGGGTGAAGGTGGCTTAAGACAGTATGTATATATACCTACTATGTTTTTATTTATTTTTTTTACGCGTGTAAGTATATATATTATACCTCCAAACAAAAGGCCGCCTCCGGTCGTCCGCATGCTCCACCGACTAGGGGGAGGGGGGGATTGAGGAACGATGAAGACATTAAAAAACCATCAGACCGCGAAGCGCGCACCGAAAATCCGTTTTTATCGGGTTGATTACACAAACACAATATAAATTGTGAGGAACTGCGGCTGCGGCGGCGGCATAATTACTTGTTTGGTGCGCAGTGTTTATACCCCACGGTACGCGCTCCGCCGCGCACAATATAATATATAATAAAATAATGTATAAATATTACATACACTGCAAGTTACATAGTATATAATATATATATTATACACCGTGAATACCGAATCGTACAATAATAATGTGTATGCGAGAGAGATGCACGTCGATACCCGCCGAGAAGTGTTTACGGAAGCGTAACCCCGAACAGTATAAAATAATATAATATTATCGTGTATATTGTATTATTTGTCGGGGTCTTTACGAGAGCCGCCGCCGCAGAAAACGCTACCGGCATTTACAGGAATTGGTACCGGCTTATATATTATATTATATGTGTATACAATAGTTAGGTACCTATATAATAATACATACTCGAAACAAGCATTTTCTTTGCGTGACATGGACCGCAACGTCGCGTTTCCCGCGCCCTCGCGAGCACACACACACGTTAAATATTATATAAGGTGTATTATATAAAGGTATATATGCATCTATGTATACTTTACGAGCTCTGCTATCCTATATTACATCGTCGACTGCAGCAGCAGCTGGCCCTTTCCCCTGGCTGCGGTCGCGACGCTCTCTTTTTTACGGTCTCCTCATCGTGTCTTACCCTCAATTAAAGGCATTATCCGTGCACGACGTTTGTGCGTATACCTATATACATATATATCATATATGTAACAACTGGTCTCGAAAATGTATTCTTTACCTATGTATTACAACGCGCAGCCATTATTATCTACATAGGTACTCGCGGCGATCATAATATTATTATTATTATACCGTCGTTGTTGATGTTGTGGCAGTGTACCTATATATCCTCCATCTTCTTTACCAGATAATTTCTTCCCGCCGCCGATGTAATAATAATACCATATAATCCTTATACATTATTATAGCGATCCGATACGTATTTCGATATCGTACATTTTCTCCCTTCATCTCACTTCGTCCTATCAAAATATCATCATAACGCCGGCGTATACCATACTGACGTTTTATATACAAGTAATTTATATTAAATTATATAGGCACTATATGGCGAAGACAATTAAAAACGAAATCGTTGGGAGAGATTGCTCATTATTTTGGACTTTAATTAAGGAATATTCTAGGTTTTTATAGAAAAACCAAAATTAAATAAAACGATTTATTCGATTAATATACGAAAACTAATTTGCTCGAACGTGCAACTGAGATATCGTCCGAAGAGAACTTTGTCTGCGGTGCAGTTCTTATTTTTTCGATGACTAAACTAAAAAAAAAAATTCATAATTCTCATAATAAAGCGTAAAAACAAACACAATATGTATGACTGCTAAATTGGTATATAGGTTCCGACAGTGATTGGTGTTATTGGTTCATACATTATAATATTATACTGAAAGTTTTATGACACGGCAATATATAAAAAGGCGTCGCTCTATAGGTCGTTTAATCTTCGTTTGTAAAACCGCGCATAGGTATGAATATATATTTATAAAATATAATCTATAGGTATATAATATATATATATACACACATATATTATCGTATATCCCGCAAACGGTTACAGTCACGTGCGTTTAAATCCTGATTAATAATTCGTACGAGTATAAGTGTAATATGTAAGCATACTCACCTAACCCGATAATTCGCGCGAACACGTGCGAATGGCCGCGGTCGCTGTGGCCTGGGGCACCTCGTCGTACATATAATAATAATGTTATAATAATATAATAATGTTTTATCGAATCGTTTGTTCGCGTCCGTACGATTACCGCCATTTTGTTTTTTCGTCCGTTTCTATTAATGAATTAACGTGTATACGCGCACACCCGCGATCCATCCGCATCGTATTAAAATGAGGTCGGATTTTAACCCGACGCTCATTGTGTTGTGTAATAGGTATATATTATTATACTCGGTGGAAGCGCTGCTGTTAAGTAATGCGATATTAAAGACGCAAAAATAATACACAGCCTGGTATATATATTATATACAGTGTATAATTATATGTGTTTAAAACATAATGCTTTTTAATGCACATACATAATATATATACCTGGTATGTGTATATAATAGTAATAAATTAACAAAACCGTCAAAATTGATTAAAAATGTCTCGGTGTTTGCTCTAATGTTTTTAATGAGATCCGTCGTAAGACGCTTAGCTATAGCTGCATATTATATATGTAGTAAGATAGTGTACCCCCCTTATAATAATATGCTTTTATAAAAAGTTTGTAGACGGTATAAGTATATAATATATTATATTGTCGGGCACTGGCTGTAAGGAACGCATATTTTTATTTTAAAATTGTTTTAATTTTAAAGCTCTCTGCCCCTAAATCGTATTAAGCCATACTTACATTATATTATCATGTGATATGATTTGAAAGTACCGCATGCATTAGGCATTGCGCGTAATTATGTAATCGGGTAGTCTTTATTAATCGCTCGAGTTTGGCTCTTTAATAGCATTGTGTAAACGGTTAGTTTCGTAGATTATTACGAACTATATACTGACATATAATAATCGGTTTAGTACAATTATATTTGATTGAAACGTGTATACCTATTATAATATAGTTATCGATTTTTTGTATAATCTAAGCGAATAATGACGTTATTGGAAATACACATCAAGATCGACAATTTCGACCTCGAACACAACACAATCGGTGGTAGATACCTATAGCCTACAGGTACACGATGTACGTGAATCAGCTTTTGAAGGACATAATAATATATCGAATACGCCAGTTTGATAGATATTTGCGCGCACAAGTCGAATTTTCCGTTTGGTCGTTTCACAAAAATCGACTTATTAGTATTTAGTTATTATGAACAACGTCCTACAGCGATGTCTATTATAAATATATTATACATTTTCATATTATATATTATATTAATGCATGCGGCATGCACTGCGCATCAGCAGAGATGGAGAAGGTGCAGCGTTTCGCACTCGCGCTAGTATTATATATAGTATGTATTGTACCTAAGGTGAAATGACGATTAAATGCCGCCGCTTGCATTATACTATTATTTAATAAGAAACGCGTCGCTCGTTTTCTAAATAGTCATTTCGACGATTTATACGTGCCCTCCGGGGTCTCGCCGAGTTCTGCAGTGTGTATACACCTAATACCTATATATATATATATTACTTACATACATTTATAATATATCTGTTTGTGCACGTCCGCGGGATCCGCCGACTTAGCATAAGTGCGTAGGCTAAAAAGAAGAAAAAAATAAAACGAAACGATAAACACGAAACCGCAACGTGTTAAACACAAACAATGGGACTACGCTGCTGCAGCGCGAGCGCTTAAATTTTTCGTTGTTTTTAAATCATGATAAATTGACCTTTTGTTTTTTGGTATTTTGTGCGTGTGTAGGAAGAAGACGATTATCAGTGGTGGACCGAGGAGGACCTGTGGAAGTTTCCCCCGCCGCCTCCCCGTCCACCGTTCCTGGAGCCCCCTTATCCGGACGGCCTGACCACTTGCGACCTGTGCACATGGGCCCTACAACCTCTAGACGGCACTGACAACGGTGAGTGTTTTAAACGGCCATTGTGCCGCTCATTGTATTATTTTAACGTTCTTTTGTTTTGTTTTAACCGGGTCTGCGTGTATATAAATATATAATAATATATAATATATACTTATAAATTGTATATCGTAGGTACTCTCCACCCCACCCGCCACTATGTGACCACCGACTGAGACTCGTCTCCCCTACCCCACCCCCTCAGACACTTCGTACATGGACGGGCAATGGTTTGAGTGCACACTGCACCGTCGTCCGGTAATGATTTTCGTTTTCACGCGTCCGATTGCGATCAAAATAATATAGTAAGATTTTGCCTTGCGTTCTTTGCATTATTATACGCCCCGCGTTCTTGTCGTCTCTGCAGTCAAAGCGAGCACCTCCTCTTTAACGACGACGTCCAAATCACGAATGTTTTATTTATTTATCTACTTTTATTTCTCTCTCTCTCTTCGTTTATCTGTCTCTCTCTCGCCGCCGCCGTGCGCATCTGAAATAGTTTTCAGCCGGGCCTAGCCGTACAGAAATATACGTTTAAGGGATATACGCCCAACAGGAAATTGCTCGTTGGCCGCGATCCAATTCCGATAAATTAAACGATGACAATTGGCTCGTATCACCAAAGTTTTCATTATGTTTGCCCTCTCGACGTGATTGTAAGCGGAGGGCCGCTCTATTTGGATATTTTTAGACGATAATAATAACATTTCCGCACCAAAGTCAACGGCAGTTAAAATGGCTAATTAGACGTGTAATATAAGTTTTCTTTGGAATTTGGATATACATCGTTCTCAATAAAGTACTATAGTATATAATATATAGGTGTCTAGATATATTTTACATTAATATTTTTAAGATGAAATGATGATTTTATTAGTCTTTGGTTAAATATTTAAACATTTCCATCATAATAAACCAATATTAAATTTTAACAGTTAATCTTGAATAACATTTTGTCTATACACGCAATATTTTGTGTACACCTACTTATTAGAACTTGACTCATTTTAGCGGGGTTTCAAATTTCTAACATGCATGAGAATTCTTTCATCGCGTTCCGTTTGTAAATTGATCGTTATATTAATTATGTACATGTATATTTAAAATAATATCAAGTGTTAGCATATTGGATGGCTTCTTTATTCAAATCTTTCAAGTTATGTAAAAATGTCCTCTTTCATATGTCTATACTCTTATATTTTAAAAATAATTAATAATTAGGTACCTACCTATTACAGATTGTGTATTTTCTGAAAAATTAAAAAAAAATAAATATCGGTAACTGAGCTTATGAAAACTTGACACGTCTTTAATAAGCACCTACCTATACCGACTAGGTATCTATAATATGAGCATTTACAGTTGAAGACGTTTAACAAGACGTTTAACTAAATCACGACAGCCATAATAAAAAAAGTTGAAATTTGGCTAAAGAAGGATCATTGCTTAAGTGTATGTAATACTATGTATAGTAACTTGTAACTATCAATACCTATCTTTCATACATTATAATAATATACCGTCGAAACACAATGCACAGAAAACGATTTAGCGAACGCTTTGCGTGCCTCAGCGTACACACGCATATATATTATTATAAACATACCTATACGATTAACTGCAGCAGTGGTGGATGTGTCTAAACGTAATACTTCACACATATATATATAGAGTTATATACTAAACTAATGGCTTCATTCAACGGTGCTTTTGTTCGCATACGTGATCTCGTTCGCGGCTTGGGCGATTTTGCATTCCATCGACACGTGCCATTAAAAACGGCAACAAATCACCGGCCTAATGACTTTCTAGTCGACGTCAAAGTGTATTGCGTATATTATATAGACAGTTTACAGCTGAGAGCATATGTAGGTACCGTACGCGTATAATATACTGCAGCCTCGGAGAGAGTCCCGACTGCAGAACATTGATTGCAACCGACACGATATTATTATACATACGTCTCCGACCGACGGGACAACGGGAGGTATTATTCCGCTGAAAGCTATTCCCATACACTGATACACTGATGCACGCCACAATATAATAATAATAACACCCATTATATAAAAAATTTGTGGTGTAACGAGCAGCTAACAATAATATGCATCTATAATTTATACAAACTTAAATATCTTATATTCGTTACACGAGTCGTACCTGCTTATAATTATTCACTATCGACATAGTCGGCTAACCAATAGGTTTAACGAATAACGATATCCAATATATTATATATATATATATATATATATATATATATATTATAATATTATGATTCTGCGAAGATTTTTCACGATAAGCCCAGCACGACGGTGTTTTCGGCGGGGTAGAGGTCATATAGGACTATAGGAGTCGCTTTGAGAGGCACATTTTTGAGGGATAGAAAAATAATGTATACCTATTCTATTAATTTGTTTGTGATAGCTATATGTATCTACATACAATTTGCTTCGTGGTGGCAAATTTGTAAACACGGCAGTGAGTAAACCCTATATTATGTTTTTCGTGCAGTCCTGCGATCGGCATCTCGTTAAAATTTAATAGTATATATTATTAAATAAACATGTTATAATGTTATATATTATGCGTACACGTCGCGGTATTATATTGTTTGCAGAGCGCCGCAGACTTTTTTATGTCTCGGCCCACACGACGACGGGCGCAAACGAAATAATTAAATTTTCGTGTTGAAAAAATAAACATACATTGGTCAAACCCACTCGCGTACAAATTTCCGAAACGAAAACATTTCGGATGTCGACGACGATCGAAGCGTCTATCTCCGTATTGAATTCGACTACCTGCAGAAGTTGTGTCCGAGTAATTTGTATTCAACTACCATAAACTTGTTCTCGTATTATTATTATATATTATACTTCGACGGACGCGTTAGAAACACGTAGCCGAGAACAGATTAAGACGATATAATAGATTTAACTATATACATAATAATACGTATATATTATAATGTACACCTAGAGTATATAATATAATAAAGGTGGCAGTGTGGCACACATTTAAAAACTTAGGAAGCAATGAAATGCTGGGGATATAAATATATAATATTACTATGGTAAAAATGTACAGCTCGCGAACGGTATAATATTATATAATAAATATATACATACACATATAAACACGCGCTCGACCTCTCTGTCCATTAATATCGATAATGTGGAAACACAAGAAACACCTCGTTTAAGTAATTCTTATGGATTTGAATTTAATGTTTATTTTATTTGAAATAACGACTATAGGTTTTCGTTTTTATAACTCAATTTCGTCGGATATTTAAATAAATTCTCGTTTTCATTTGCATTAAATAAAATATGCGACTTTTGATATAGCTGCCAACAGCAGTCATTATTAATATAAGTACCCATATATTAATACCCCTATACATATACATAATATATTACATACAGTTGCGATATAATTTAAATTTTGGGTTTTATCGACATGCATTAACCGTAGGTATATAATATTATAATGTAATTTACGTGTTTGAGACAGTTTGGCTATACGGTGGATTTTTCGTTCTGGAAATCGCACGATGTTATAACACAACCGGGACCTGCCAGTTTTTGGACATCCAAACGCTAATGCTTTATAGTTGTATACTTGTATATATACACAACACATGAATCCGGACGTTTGGGGATATCTGACTGCGTTATTATATTATATAGTTATTTTAGTATATGTATAGTCTTCGTGCAGCGCCGTAAGAATTACGCAGAAAACCTGGATTTTGGCATGAAAACCAGACCACTATAATAATATAATATATCTCCTTGGTCCCGCTCCCGATTACAGGGTGCTAGCACTCATACACGACACACACGCACACTATTATAAGTGTACAGCACGGGGACGAGGTGAGTGCTAGAGAGGAAAACATTAATCACGTCACTTTTAACACGTCTCCTGCGGTAAATATATACATATATTATTGTATATCTATAATATCGCGTCTGCTGAGTAATTTTTTTGTTTGCCGAAAACCAGAATGGCGTTATACGTATAACGTATATATACTCATATAATATATGCCGACACAGCCCAAAGGAGCTTATGATTTGTGTATGTTATACGCCGTAGACGTTTAACACCGACGACAAAATGAGTTGTTACAATCAGAGCCGCCGGAAAGAGGTGTAACTCCATATTATTATATCATATTATATGCGTGGTCCTCGTGCAGCATATGTATATACTGCAGGTACTGCCAGCGTATATACGTCCTTACGGATAGTTATTATTATTTTTTTTTACCCGTCGCGCTCAAAACCGGACCCGCTCCTGGATTGGATAATGACGGTTCGGAAACGATCGTAATGAATGGGTTCTTATCACCGTCATGGGCGAAAATATCACGTTCCCCCCGGAACGCTGCCTCAACGATGATGGCGGCGTCGGATCTAAACATATTACATAGGTATAGGTACACCCAATAATACACGTACGTATTATATTATACCAACTATAGTATATATATAGCAATGTGTAATACATCTCCACGTCACGTTCGTTATATGCACGCGGACGTCTGTATGGCGGCGGGGGAGTGGTCGGGGGTGGTGGGTGATGGGAGGGCGAGAGGCAACGAAAAAAAAACTAACGAACGGATTTTTAATTTAGCTATCAGTTGATACAATATCTTTGACAGGTATAATTATGGATAGCCGACAGAGACGGGTTTGTGTGTCTGCGTGAGTATGTGTGTGTGTGGATCCATGACATTTAATTAAAATATATATCAGCAGTGTTAGTTACATATGGAGTGGAGAAGTATTATGTACACTGTCTAGGTACCTATATATCTGCTATAATAGCCTCGGGTCTTATGGGAGCGGGATGTGTTTTGTTCGGGCCGAACAGCTCGGGAACAAAGACCCGAAAAAAAGGATGTCACTTTTTTATCTTACACTCTCGTCAGTGCATAACGTTATTATCATATTAATACTATGACGACGCGACGGTGGCGATGGGAAAACGCG